AAAAAAAGAAAAAGAAAAGCAAAAATAGAATTACAGTAATCAAAAAGATAGGGAGGAGGTGACTCTGGCGCGCAAGGTGTAAGTGGATCACTATCACCCACTCATGGTCACGGTTCGACCAGGACTTCCATACCTCAGGGTTTGGTAACGGGTACCAAACTGGGAGGAGAAAGACTGACTTGAACATCGGCTGGCCACCGCAAGCCATCGTATAGGCCGTGTACACATTCGCTACACCACTACGGTTCTGAATGAAAGTCAAGTGCAGGGGTGCAAACCTCTGACGGGAATGATCATTCTATTTTCGAATGATCAAAGCAACTCAAAGAGTTCATCTATTTCGCTATGATCACGGTCTGATTGTGAGCCTTTAACGAGGCCAAACGTTCAGACCGTAGCCCCCCCACAAATGGTCACCGTTCGATACGATTTCGTTTGTTTGAGAGAAATACATTAAATTCAATATTATAAAAGTGGCATTGATAGAAACGAATTACTAAGCCACATGAGAAGCACCAGGAGGAGGACTTGGCGTGGAACGGCTAAGAACGACGGAGCGCGACATCTGGTCGCCTACGAGAAGCTTACTCTACGAAAAAGTTGATCTACACACGTTACACTCCTAACGCTTGGGTGATCGAGATGACTGATTTGAGCGCCACATTGTATAGGCTATGACATACACTTGCGTTGTCGGAGATCGAGGATAACTGGCTTACAGAGGCGGAACAGCAGGTAATCGCAAATTTGAGCTTTATTATATTCCTTGTTAAGGAATGGGCTCAACCGTACCACAAAATGAAGAGGTACTCTTCCCACTGTGGGCAATCTTAGCAAAATGTTCGGTTCACTACATATTTCTTCTGATGTCACCCACATTCACATGGTAGATTGGCGCTTCCGGATCGTGTGGAGTAACACCCTCCCATGATCCGGGGATTTCACCATGGAGATGGGGAGNGGGGGGGGGGGTTATGCTAAGGGGGTTCAAGTGAAAAGTTTTTGGAAGCAGTCACGAGCTAGTTACACTGACGCGAAGAATGGCAAAATTCGCCGTTCTTTTTAAAATTCCATCTTTCGCAATCGATCGCCACCCTTGTTTTGTGGCAATAGATTGCAGTTTTTATTCAACAAAACCATAAAATTTTACGCCGTATTTTATGGCTGAGAGCATCATCGAAAGGGATCACTTCGCTTTTCTTGCAAGTTTACGAAAGGATACCATTACGACAAAATCATCGAAGAATACATTGGACTTACTGAGCATGTTCACGATAATGTTAGGAAACGAGTAATTTGCATCTAACTGAAAGATTACCCTCTTCGAAAAACTTGAGCTGTTTCGTCTGCAGCTGGCCTGAGCAGACGAAACAGCCTGAAATACCAACTGATATCCAAACTTGAGAAACTATGTAGAGAAGCGATAGAGGAAGATATGAGACAGTGAGGAGCAGCAGATCTGTATGAAGCAACTGACAGTTAAAGGGCATTACCTTATGTCAATGAAGGGTTTGCAACACCCGGTTTTGACTAAGTTCAACTGGAGAAGAGCCTTTCTCAAAAATTCTGGCTAGGCTTTTCACGCGGGACCTATGGAATGCAAAGTGCCGAAGGTAAGGAAAACTAGCAAGATTGTGCTGCTGTAGAAAGAGGGGAATCCCAATGATATCAGCAACTATCGACTATCCTGCTCCTGTTACTTGTAACCTACAAACTTTTCACACGCGTCATCCTGAACAAATTTGGCAGAATATTAGATGAAGGACATCCATGCAAGCAAGCAGGGTTTCAGAGAGCGTTCAGTTCAATCGATCGTATCTACACTCCTATAAGATTCAATGAAGTACCACGAGAGTACAAAATGTCGTTATGTCTAACGTTCATCAATTTGAAGAAGGCCTTTGATACTGTCGAAACAGAAGCGTTAGCTAAAGCCGTGGACAACCAGGGTATGCATGTATAAGGACACTTCGCGAGCTCTACAACAACTTCACGGAGAGGATCTCGCCATTCTATAAAGAAGCCATTGTCAACGTGAAGAGAGGGGTTTGGTAGAGCAACACCATATCCTCCAAACTTTTCAGTGCCGCCCTCGGGAGCATCATGCTCCGTTTGGAATGGAATGAGAGTGAAGGTCAACGACTGCTCCTTACATCATGTCCGCTTTACAGACGACATAGTACTACACACCGGACATATAGTAGGCAAAACGAATATGACAGCGCTTATTGAAAGATCGGCTTAAGATTAAATTTAGCGAAGACGATGTCCATGAGAAGCGGATTTGTACTCGATGTGTTGTTTACGCTAAACGGAAAGAATATCTCTGAATGGTTTAGCATGTGTATCTAGATCGAGAAGTCAACATGATGAACGACCTCTTCTGAGCTGAACAGAAGGAAACGTGCGGCGTGGGGGCATTCAAAAATATCGAGGGAGTAGTGAAAGAGAGGCAGAACATTCGGCTCTGCGCTTTTCTTCTCGATATTGCGGTCTTTCTTGCTTTGACGAACGCCTCGAGGAATTGGACTCTATGAATGCAGGATGAGCATGCTGTCGGTGTTACTCAACACGCTATGTAGAGGATGACGCTCGGAGTTTCTCTACACTTGCGCGTGCAGAAGCGAATCCAGAGCCCCGAGTTGCACCAGAGCGCTTATTGACTAGATCCCTCAAGGATGTCAATTGAACACTAAGACTGCTGCTAGTCCGATGAACAGTCTTTTCACAGAAGTTTTGGGATAAACTGATTACCTTCGTGATAGTTGAAAGAGGACGATAACTGGAATACAATGACGAGGACTAACGTACGCTACCTTTGGCAGCTCGACCGAATCATTGATCAAAACACTGTAGGTCCATAAAGAGCAGCAAGGTTGCAATTTAATCGTCGTATCGCGTCAAATTACTACTGGTTATTTAATTATTTATTTACTGACTGTTGACAACGCCGACAACAAAACCAAAGATAGACATTTCAGCATCAAAAGCTGGTTCATACCTGTAGGGAAGACGAACAGGGTCAGGAACTTCATCAGGAATGTACTAGTTTGGCAAGAAAGAACTTCGACAAAAAAGCCTAACGTCGAAAGCTTTGAATAAACAATGAAAACTCGATAGCAAGGGCGATGAACTTCTGGTACATTCTCGGACAATCAAGACATGAGTAGAGCAGGGTACGCACGTGGGCTTTCGCAATTTTCCGTACAAGCGAAAAACGCAATAGCAGGGGCTGAAATTGTCAGCGACTCATTCGCTGAAAGCCATGTTTATCAAGCGATCAGCGTTTGATAAATCGCTCCCACTGTAGGAGAAGCTAACTTTCGAAGTAACGCAAGCATCGTCTCATAGTTTTGTGGGGTGTGAATAGATGCTATCCTTTATGAATCCCGGCGTTCGGCCAATGTGGTAAGAGAAAGACGTCCAAAATCATACTCACCAGTCAGATACCTACGGTACGCGAACAAACGATGACCTGTCGAAATTTTACTTCAGAAACCCGTCAAAAGTACACCGGTTACAGCTTGTTCGTCAATCGTGCTCCAGGAACCCCTTTTGCTTACCATGTGGTCCCATTCTCAAGCATATCTATGTAGGGAAAAAGGTCGCCTTCCTTTTTCTGGATATAACTAATCAGTGATTAGCTTTAAAGATAAGGGAAGGCTATTGATCACTCTGGTGAGTATACATATTTAAGATATTAACTAATTTGAAAAGATCTGATCGAAGCGGGTTGACTCTATCTCGTCGCGGATTTTCCTTGCCAGCTTACTACCTTTATCAGCTATCGATATTGATGGAAATCTCACTATGAAAGACTGTAATTGGGAAAAAGTACTTCCCGTAGATCGTTTCCGCTTTAGAGTTTTTACCAAACCAAAGGGAACTCAAGGAAAGCTTGATTTTTAGGCATTTTTTTCTGTATTTCAATGAAGGTGGTCGTATAAATGACATGAACGCTTCTGGCCATACGGGCTCCAGAAGGGATTATTTCGACATCGTAGATCAGATGTCAAACATGGATTTTGATGACTCTAATCTGTCATCGTTCTTGGAAGATTAGTTAATAGGTATAAATAGCTTTTAGGTTGTTCCTAAAGCACAATACTTGTTGAAAAGTCCACAAAATTCCAGGTTTTGTGGAATGTTGTGAAAATTCCCATGGATATGCTGTATAAGAGCACCACACTCATAAATGCATGACATATCCGGTTCCCTCTTCCTTGTTTATTTTCCCATATGATGACTGAACCGTCTCTCCATAATCGACATCCAGTTTTTCAAAGGTTGGAATCTGGCAACCCCGCTGCCGAAGCTTATAGAAACTCGTACCTAGTATTCTATTCCGGAGCCCCTTCTCAGCAGTTCCCAGAAACAAGAAGGACCTGATCAAGGGACCGCAGCACGGAATACTATCCAAAACCCCAATATCATAAGGTAATTTATCGTTGTAGTATATACTCCATTACCGGTTAACTGTAAAATACAAAAAAAAAGTTAATAGTATTCATGCCGAGATTAAAGGATAGTCGATCATAGACTTTTCACAACATCGACCCACTAAAAAAAAGCGCAACACACCTTTCGTCCAGGAGACGGACAAACACATCCATGGTACCGATTCGAACCAGATATTGCTTGTGCTGGAAACCAGGCGCCATCCGTTCGAGTACCGACTGAAACAGAAACCGATTTCTTGACCATTAGCGATTACTCAGCATGACTTGGAACCAGAACTCCTTCATATTTGTAGAACCTCATTAGGAAAATACCACTGTACAACGGGTTGTATAAATAAGGGAGAAGTTTTCTTTTGGCTCACAAAAACAGTAGAATCTGAATTGCCTTCTTTCTCTGCGAAGGAAACCACGACGTTGGACGGGACTCGCACCTGCACCAATGCTTCGCGGACATTGTACATATCCCCTACGGTAAGATACCCTTCCATTCTCAAAGCTACCGATGGCAAGTTTATCGTAGCCTACCAGTATTCACATAAACCTTTCTTGTACCCAGAAGTCCGGGTGGGTGGGACATGCGAAACAGCGACATACGAGGAAGCTTCAGAAGGTGTTTAGATTTCAAGATAATATCGCTTGGCAGAAAGAGTTCAGAAGCAAAGTTCCTTTTGCCGTGAAAATGGGCTTGATTCGGATGGAACAAGTATGGATAGGAAAGTAGCGTCAGAAAAAAATGATAAGGAAGGGATCGATCGAAAGGATAAACGATGTAAACTTCAAATGTTGGCGAAAGAAACATAGGAAAGCTAGAAAAACCGCTTACATCATGACTGCTATGAGGGACATTAGCGAGATCCACAAGAAGCTGTCCTGCAGCTTCACGTACTTGAGTTTTGCTGTCACCAAGCCTGAAAAAGGAGAGTTCATTCTGATGTTCAGCTGTGCTTCGCTTATTTTATGGAGCCCGAAAACACACAACAATGAATAAGATAGAAATAAGAAATCCAGTAAAGCGGGAGGGTATAATAGGTCCAAAAAACAATTAGAAATACTGGATTATCAAGAGAAATCGAGAAAAAGTACGGTAGCACACCATGAACTATTTTCTTTGATTTTTGCAATTCTAGACTTAACCTGACTCCAGCTGAGATGATTGATTTTCATTATTCCCTCCAAGTCGAGGAGCGATTTTCCTAGTTTCCTTACTATTATGATAGTTTTAAAGTTTTCCTGTACAATGAGAGCTATAATAATAAGTGCTGTTCGAATGGGTTTCAAAAGTATGTGCACACCCAACATTTTGTTTTTTT